GTTAGCTGGTTGTCCATATTAACCTTGAGTGTCGTTAGGGATACGATTAGGTGATTGTCACTTTGCCGAAAGCACATTTCTGCCACAACCCCGATGTGCACCGCATCCGACACACGTGAAAGTGCGAGGGCCCGTTCAATGCTGCTTGCTGTGAGGGTTATGGACTGGTTTACTGTGTGTTTTTTGGATTCCTGTTTTTCCCTGTGTGTTTTGGCTGGCGTGCTTTTCACTTTCAGGCTGGGCGGGCCGATCGGAGGGGGACACTCTTGCGCTGGCACACTGTGGCTCATCAGCTCAATCAGCAGACAGCTTAAAAGCCACTGCTCCCCGGATGATTGTGATACACCACCAGTGCGCCCTCTCCGCCGGCTCCAGCGCCCAGCCGTCCGTCCTTCACACCAGCCTTTGCTCCCACGGCATCACGAGTCGGGTTCTCATCCTTCACGGGCACCAGCACGAGAAAACCTCTACACGAGCACCTACACCAACAAACCCTCCATACGAGCACCAGCACAGAAAACCCCCTCCTGCACTGCCACTGCAACCTGCGCACCTACCCCGGATTCCCCTCCTGTATCCTGATGCCCCACACTCCCTAGTTTCCCCTAAATGAACCTGTTCCTCCCTTCATTTGCCGTCTCCTTTTCGTTTGGGTTCAACACACACACCTGGTGGCCACGGGCCGTCCGGCTTACAGCTTTAATTATCATTTCTAACCTTGTTCTTATGCTCTATTTTTCTTTTATTCCACTTGTCTCTTTCCGTTTCCTGGATGTGACATTTTATTATTCTATCTAGTGTAGTCCTATTCATTTATTTTGTTTCTCCATGTTTGGACTGACCAGCCTTCTGTTATTTAATTTTCTTCCTGAGTATCTTTCTTTTCTTGTTTGTCTTGTCGATAAAGGCTGTTTCATAAACTCTTGTGTTATACAAATGAAGTTATTATTGTTATCATCTGTTACGACAGACGATTTTACACACAAAAAAGGCCTTTAATGTTTCTTCTCCTTCATCAGATTGATAGAATGATGAGGGACAAAGGACTGACTGATTTCAAGCTGCGATGGACGATTCAGCCCAGAAAAGAGGAGGAGGACAAAGATGAGATGTAACACGCCTTCATAAGTCATAGTTGAAGTAGCAACAGTGTGGTAAAATTAAGTAAAGAGTGAGACGTAGTTGTAGTTTTGTTTTTAAATGGCATTTCAAGAATCAAGGAAATATACCATATAGTAGATAATGTATTTAAATGGTGTGTTAATTGAGAAGTAGTTTTCTGCATGACTGACTGCTGTAT